TGCGCCCCGCCCCTCGCCGCCGCCACCGCTCCCCTGCTGCAGCCGCGCCGCGTCCCCGCGACCACAGCGGGCGCCCCCCGCGCTCCCAGGCTGGGCGTACACACACCCTCGCCGCCTCTTGCCGGCCTCCCCGCGAGGTGGGGTCAGCTCTGCACGTGCGCGCGGGGTCCGGAGTCCAGGAGCTCCTCGCAGCCGGACCCCCTCCCCGACTCCCTCCCCGACCTTCTCCCCGGAGGAAACAAGAATATGGTGGGCTTTTCCCTTCGCTTAGGACTTGGGAGCCAGCGGACGTTCGGACCCACTGCAAAATGAAGAACGCACAAGAGGGATTTCCTCTTCCCCCCCGCCCCCAATTAAATAGTCCTATTCTATTACTACACCAGCAACAAATAAGACACTTCCGTTTCCTGCTTTGACCACTTCTGGGAGAAGATGGAAAAGCAGCCGAGAGTGGGAGCTCAGAAGAAAATAAAAGGAGAGCGAGGAAAAGTGCGGAATGCCCCAAGTTCATGACAAAATGGTGGTCAAGCTTCCAAGGGTTAAACCTACCTGACCTTCCCTGTTTCTTATCCCTGAAAGGAGACCCTGACTGACTTTACATTCACACTTGAGAGTCTTGTATGCATTGAGGTTCATTTTTTTTTTCTAGAAATCTTGCACAGAAGTAAAGAAATGACCCCTTAGAAAGCTCTGCAGATGAATCCTGCAGGTGTCTGTTGATGTAATGCCTTATTGCCTGGAATCCTTTTAGTATTCCAAACCTGTCAGAGTGGTTGGCTTTTATTATCTGTGAGCCTTGCTTCATTCTTTTTTGTTTAAAGATTTTCTTGGAAACCAGCAGTGAGTTCTTAAGTTTAAGATCACAAAGAATGTAATTTCGGCTTTTCTAGCTGTTGCGTGCTGTCAAGTCAGAACCAGCCCATAGCTGACTCTCCAGTGCACAGATTGCCAGCCTCGCCCCCCCACCCCGGTCCCGCCTAAAAACACTTTGGTGGGGAGTGGGGGGAGGGAGAATTTTTCCTAAATTCACTGCTCTTGGACTATTACCAGGATTTCAGAGCCCCCTTCGTGAATGAAAAGAGCAAATCAATCCATAGGGTCAAAAGAAGAATGGAAAGATAATACCTAGGTTACAATGCATTGCTATTTCATTGTTAAAGTGGAAAAGACATTTCCTTAACCTTATTTATTTTAGTATTATGCATAACATCAAACAAAAGAATGATTTTTAAGCTGGAAGGCATTTAAGAAATTATTTTACATAGAAGGAATAAAAGCTAGAAAAATATAAATTATTAATTTTGCTAAAAACCCTCAAATAATATGCTTTGTAAACTTCACTCAAATCGCAATTTGATACGTTGCCCAAGATCGCACATGACTTCGAAGAATGAATGCCTTCCTAAAAAAGAAAAAAGAAAGAAAAGAGAAAAAGGAGCTCTGGTGGCCTAGTGGCAAGAAGCAGTACTACAACGCAGAGGTGTGCGGTTCAAATCCACCAGATGCTCCGCTGCAGAAGGAGGGACAGTCTCCTCCTGTCCCAGTCAGATTCTGTATGACAGTACATGCACAGAAAAGAATAAAATAAAATTTAAAAGAAATGCTTTCCTTTTTTTACTCTGATATTTTGAATTGTCTTAAGGCCTCTGGAAAAGGTACAAGCTACATTTTCTTTTTCCCTTTAGTACCCTAATCAATTTAGCTCACATATTCTGTAGAATTCCACATAAATTTATTACACAATGTATTTGAAAATTAATAGTCATAGTTTTCTTTGAACTGACAGTCAATATCATTTACCACGTACATACTTATATCTCCCAGCTTCTGCTTTTTCTTACTTTTGTATTTGTGGATCTATAAATGTGCTGAGTAATCATTTTAATATTCTTTTCAAAATTGCTTTCTCTTCCATTCTCAAAATAGCATCAGGTCCACGCTCTCTTTTATAAAGCAATCCAATCAGTTGTATTAGCCCTTATGATGGCTTGAGTGTATTTCCTAAGACGCTTCTAGGTTTTTAATTTCTAAGCTGTCACAATGTATAAACATGGTTATTAAAAAAATGTCAGCATCTACTGCATTCCCTTGCTTCTGTTGAGTCTGAATTCCATCTATCATTGTTCAAATTCCAAAATCCTGACAGAACCATCTGAAATTCCTCTCATTTCCCTCTAACCTTGAATAGCAAAACTTGTATCATCACAAAAGTACTCAGAGCTACTGGAGATCTTTCCATCACTTTTTCTAACAAAGAAAAGCTAAAAAGAGGGCTTTAAAAATCATTAATACACCCATGCCAACAAGTAAATGTATTCAGCACTGCCCCCCCCAAAATTATTAATACAAAACAATGATGGGAATAGATCGATGGTGATTAATTTTATCAAACACAGTGTATAGGGATGATGGTATGAAATACATAAAAAGATGTAAAAAACATAATATGCATGAATCAAACACAATGTATACAAATTTTGCAGGCCATCTAATATAATTTTTTTAAAGTAATAAAATCTTAGTATTTCCTCTAAATTTGTCATTTGTTTTTGCTCTTAGTTTCCTGGTCTCTTAAATCTTGACTAAGGATGAGTGATGAGCATAAGCTTCCTCCAGCTCCCGCCTCCCCATTCTTGGTGGTAACACAGGAGACAATACAGGAAAGTGTTGACATCTAAATCAAATCACCTCCTTCAGCTTCTATCCATTTTCTCTCTTGTATTTAAAAACAACAATACTACTTTTAGAAGCAGCAGTTCTTGTCCAGCCTCTCACGGCTTACTACAGCCTTCTCATAAAATAGCCAACGGAGGTCCCTGAAAACACATCTTTCTGATGCTCCAGTAGACACTTTCCTGATCTTAAAGCTGCTCTGGTGAAGATTCAGAAGACCTGCCAAGTCCTACAACATGAACTATCATCATTGCAAAAGTCTTTCCCCCCCTCATCCGCATCCGTGCGTTTAATTATATCTGCATAAACTCACACATAACCCCTTAGCTATGTAGGGCTGCTATAACAGAGACTATACATGGGTGGCTTTAACAAACAGAAGTTTCTTTTCTCACAGTTTAGGAGGCTAGAAGTCCAAGTTCAAGGTATCAGCTTCTAGGGAAAAGCTCTGACAAGGTCCTTCTCTTTTTGAGCTTTGACTTGTGAATAATCTCCCTGTGGCTTGCACTCTCTCTTCCTTCTTCTCCTGGGGAGCTTGACAGGGCAGAGATCTGTGGTCCAAAAGACTCTTAGCTCCTGGTTTTTCTTTGTTGGTGGTTCTGAGATCCATCGGTCTCTGCTCTCCTCTCTCCTTTAATCTCTAGCAAGATAAAACTTAATGCAAGCCACACCCCAGGGAAACTCCCCTTACCTCAGACCAGGGCTGCAACCAGAGTTAGGGTGGTTACTTAAAAGGCAGAGTAACACTTCATTATCACAACACATATAGCCAAATCCTTTGGAGCATAACCTTATCCTGCCTCATTAACCACAGGCAGAGGTTAAGGCTTACAATCAGCACAATCAGGCAATACCATCAATCAAGCCAAGTGGACACTTATTTTGTGAGGACACACTGGATCCACGGTAGTCTGGTCTTTGACAGTCCCCTCCACATATTCATGTCTTTGCCACTTGTAAAACGTTTTTACTGCATTCTATCCCAAAATTCTGACATCAACCCCAAGTCCACATGACATCGTAGGGCAAAAACCTGTGAATCAAGAATGCAAGTTAACTGCTCTAAGGTAGGATCCCTGGTGGTTAGTGCATTGCCTACTGCACTGCTAACGGAACGGTGGGTGGTTCGAATGCACCAATTTTTCCTTGGGAGAAAGAGAGGCCATCTCATCCTGGAAGATTTACCTCCTCAGAAATCCAGTGGAGGGCCACCATGACTCAGAATAGCCTTGATAGCAGTTTTTGAGGTTGTTGTTGTTGTTGTTGTTGTTGTTGTTGTTGTTATGTGCTGTCGAGTCGTTTCCAACTCATAGCGACCCTATGCACAACAGCCCTAAACCCTGCTCTATCCTGCGCCAACTGCACTGCCTCTGACACACCCATCCCGATTACCCCAGTCACCGAATCAATCCATCTCATAGAGGGTCTTCCCCTCCTGCGCCGTCCCTCCACCCTCCCAAGCATGATGTCCCTCTCCAAGGACCCATCCCTTCTGGCAACATGTCCAAAGTATGTCAGACGAAGCCCCAGAATCCTTGTCTCCAAGGAGTAGCTTGGTTTAATCCTCTCCAAGATGAATCTGTTTGTTTTCCTGGCAGTCCATGGTACATTCAGTACCCTTCTCCAGCACCACAGCTCAAAAGCATCCACTCTCCTTCTGTCCTCCCTAGTCATTGTCCAACTCTCTGATGCATAACAAACGATTGCAAATACCATGGCCTGTATCAGGCGCACCTTAGTCTCCAGAGAGACACTGTTGCTCCTGAGGACTTTAGAGAGGTCCTTAACAGCAGACTTTCCCATCGCGATACGCTTTTTGATTTCCTGACTGCTGGTGCCAAGAGTGTTGACTGTGGAGCCGAGCAAACTGAAGCTGTGAACACTCTCAATCTCTTCATCATCCAACCTGACCCTGCCAATTGGTCCAGTGGCGAGAATCTTTGTCTTCTTGACGTTGAGCCT